CGTTCACCTCTGGGGTACCTCAGGGTTCTCATTTAGGCCCACTTCTTTTTATTTTGTACATAAACGACATTTCCTACATACTTAAAAAAACAAAACTGCTTGTATATGCAGACGACATGAAGCTCTTCATGGAAATAAGTAATTCTAGCGATGCAGAAGAATTCCAGAATGAAATCAATATATTCCACACCTGGTGTAGTAAAAGTCTACTTCAACTGAACGTAAAAAAATGTAACGCAATAGCATTTAGCAGAAAAATTTAAACATTGATTATTGAAATATCATTAGGCAACCAAATAGTAGAAAAATGCAAAATTGTAAGAGATCTAGATGTAATCCTACACTCCAAACTAACTTTTATAGAACATTATAATACTATCATTTGTAAAGCAAACAGAAAGCTAGGCTTCATTAAAAGGTTCAATAATAATTTCGAAGACCCATACACTATTAAGCTATTATATACCACATATGTAAGGCCAATTCTGGAATACTGCCACCTAGTATGGAAACCATACATTTCCATACACGAAGAACGCATAGAAGCTGTCCAAAAACAATTCCTTTTATATGCTTTACGTGAATTGAATTGAACTGCATTTCCATTACCATCTTATGAAGCGCGCTGCATGCTCATCAATATACAAACACTTAGGGAGTGCCGCCAATTTGCAATGCTTTTCTTCATCAACGACATTATTTCAATGCGTATAGATTCGGCAGAAATTCTCGCACAATTAAACTTTTACACACCTTTTCGAAATCTTAGAACACGGAATTTATTTTCTGAAAAATCGTACAGAACAAACTATGCAAAAAATAGCCCAATCAATGGAATGATGCGCCTGTATAATTTGCATTGCGGAACTATTGACATCACTATGTCCAAGCAGCAAATAAAAACTAAGCTTAAACAGACTAAAATTAATGCATAGTATGTAAGTAAACATTGTAATAATCATTGTATGTAGTCTACATTTGCTTGACGAAATGAATAAAATAAATACTGAATCCTGATAGTTAAAGTAGTCCTGAAGACATTTTGAAATGATTCTAAAGAAATCCTCGAGAAATGTGCTACGTTTCAAAGAAATAATATGATAATATGAAATAATTTATGATCCAGGATTGATCAAAATTGTCAAGATTGTGAGACTTCAGTTGTGATAAAATTTCAAGATCCTGGTCTTAGGAAACTTTTCAAAACGATGGGGCTGGATTCTAAATTCTAAGAGAAAAATTCGAGACATGGGACTTCGAATATTTATTGATAAAAATTATGGGTTAAAGTTCCAATCAGATTCCCGGTTTTCCCGGTTTCTTTTATTCCCGGTTCTCCCGGTTCAGTGAGGCGTTGAGGGATTTATTTAGCATATTGCTGAGAAGACATCTAAGCAAGAATATTAAATAATTAAGTCAATAGGTAGCATAAAATTGTTTGTTTGATTGGTATCAAAATACGGCCAATAATTTTGAGAAGGCTACTATGATATTAAAATGGACATACCTGGTCAAAAATTTAACGAAAATGCTGTAAACAATTAGGACCCAACCTAATACCTAATACTGAAAATGTCACCACTTCCAACGATGTTCAATAACTTTCAACTAAACTGATTCCATTGTTTAACAAAATCGGAAATCACTTCTAATCAGATCGACTGAAAACTTTGGCAAAGAGAATGGACACTTATTTAATGAAAATTTGCCACAGGTTTAAATGAGATTCCAAAGCTTCAAATGATAAGACAAACAATTAATAAAACTTATCATTGGAATTAGTGTAGTCGCATCGTGTAACGCAATCGATCACAATTAACAAAGCAAAAAATCACATTTTCCAACGAAAATGGTAAGACCAGGGCTGATAGCAGTGTTAAGCAATAAAAATAGGGAATTAGTGACTAAAATCATTTAAAAAAGTGACTAAAAAGTGACCGAAATCATTTAAAAGGTTACCAAAATGTGACTTAAACATGATCAGAAAACTTCCAGAAATAGAATCATGCAAATTGATTTGTCAGTCATCCAAAAAAGGTAGACATTGATTGCCTATCTGTACGCATTCGTCAAAAGTGTATATTGCAAGATCTTGCACAACTAGATTAAAAACTAACAACACTGTGTAACACGACTTTCAATAACAGAGATATTTTACCATATTTGAAATTATTATGGTCTCCTGAATTAAAGTCTAGAATAAATCTATTCTCTAACACGTGACGCGTTTTAGATATGAACTATGCTAATCTTTATGCGATCGGCGAACTTGCATCACGAAGGTGCTCCGGGTTTGCTTAGTTACCTAATAAGAAGACATTGCTGACATTAATTATTAGAACTCTTTCCGAAATGAGGAATGAAACGTCGAGATAGCGTTTTAAAATATTAAATGACATACCTAGATGCACAGATCTAATTTTTGAACAACTGTTTTACCTAATTACTGAACAAAAGCAAAATGCTTCTACAACAGCCGAACAGCATTCTACTGGGCCAAACATCTATTGGACCGAACAACAAGGTTGAATGAGTCAATAGGTCGTCTTGGGACAGGTTTTTCCGAATGTTTCTACCATAAAGTACCATAGTTTCATTAACCTATGATTCTAATTTCACGCATTTTTCAAAAAAAAACAATGTATAATGGAAACATTTTAAATTGAGCCAGAAATTGTGATAGGTATTATTAACTAGTGTAAAGGAAAAATATGATTTTAAAAAATATTACAACATCGTTAGAAAACTATTTTAATTCACTCTGCAATGCTCATTACATAATTAATAATTCTTGCTAGGAATTGCCTGAAGAATTCTCCTGAAAATTCACTTGGAGTTCACCTCAGAATTTACCATGGAATTATCTTAGGAGTATTTTTTTAGTTCTGCTAGGAAATCCCAAAAATTCTTCGAAATGCTGCTGGGATTCTCCTTTGAATTATCTGAACAAATAACACCGGAATATCCTTAGAATACTCCTCGAAATCCACTTGAAATTTAGCTCAGAATTGTCTAAGGATATTTCTAAGAAATCTGTTGGAAGTATTCTCAAAATTCTAATTGAATATATGTTGGAATAACCGTTGAATTTTGCTCACAACTATGAAATTCTCACCTGAAAAATTACTTGCAGTTTTGCTTAGATTTCATGTGATGTGATGTGAATGGAACCCACCATCAGTGCAAGGATTACCAATGTCTGCATATACTTTACTTTAGTTTTGCTTAGATTTCTCCACAAAATTTGTCAGAACCCACTTGAAATTTTTGACCGAATTTATTTGAGGTTCGATAGAAATCATACTCATATTCAATTGTAATCCTATGATTTCTCCGAAAACTCACATGGAAATATGCTTCGGATTCTTTTTGTCCCAGAATCTTCTTTAAATTATCCTCAGAATGTCCTCTTTTGTATTATCTTGAAGTTCTCCTCAGAATGACCATGGTGTAATCCTCCTTCTCGTCCAAATTTTCTCATAATTCCTTCAGAATTAGAGTCAAAAGCTGTTATGAATTTTCATTAAATTTGTATTGAATCTTATTCAAGGTTGCCTTGGAATTCTACTCAGAATTACCTACAAAACAACTACAATTCTAGGACATTGAAAATGATCTAAGAGTTAAATTTGATGGACATTTACAAGAATAAAAATTTAAGATGCTGTAAGACGCTTGAACTTTGATTCCCAACTGTGAAAAATGCTATAATTTCCAAAAGAAAATGAACGATTTCAATTGAAAAGTCTTTCGACTTCATACGGAATCGAACACAACTTTTCACCAAACGGTAGACATTTAAAAAAAACTTTATAACGTTTACATTTCTAAAAAAATTGGCAACAATAACTGAAGAAGCTGAGTTACTCATAGCTTGTTTTTGAAAAATTTGGTCGCAATTGCATAAGAAATATTATTAGGAATTGAGCATATTTTTTTTAACGAAATCGATGAAGTCGGAGGTATAATGGTATAATGTGTACTGACGCAAAGCTACTAACTCTCACTTATAAAAATGGAACAATTTTTTTTATAAAAAATGGTCACAATAGTTGAGCCGAAAAATTGCACGTGGACTAACTTAACGTCCTAGCCTAACTTAATATTTCATAATAGTCTCGATATCAAGTTGTATCTACTCCAAATTCCATAAATCGTATCACCTACCATTTTTATGGTTATGGAGTCGAAGTTGGAGTCGGGCACATTTTTGGTCAAAAGGACTCCGACTCCGACTCCACAGCTCTGAAAAAAATTGGTAGTACGACTAATACACAGTTCGAAAATGTTGTGTAAATTTCTATTCAATATGATGCACATAAAACCAGCGTCATATATCAACAATATTACATAATAGAACATGTAAAGTTATGAGACATTTAATGAAATCAAACAAATATTGCGTGTAACCGTCTATATTTATTAGCAATATTTCATGCAAGTTGGTAGTTTGCGTTATAAGAAATACTAGTTCACCTGTAATATCAACTCTTTACAACTCGATATCTATAACTCGATGGTCCCATCCATATCGAGTTGTGGAGAATTACCTATAGTAATTATTATAATTCGAACCTCAGTAAAGTTCAACATGATCCATTAAGACATAGTTGTCATCCTAGGAAGACATCTCTATTATTAGACTTTCCTTTCCTTTGGAAAACAGTAATCCCATTCCAATACTGTTTTCAACTAATCATCCAACAAGTGCAATCCCATGGATTCCCTCTTATTCCTTCACTGAGTGAAACCTCATCCCGAAGCAAACTGTTCCTCTCAGCTCGGCGATCCTCGAGAGTAAAAAGTATCAATCAAACGCCAAATACCGCGACAACAGAACTAATAAAAAGCAAAACACCATCAGAACTTTGACTCTTCCCCATTCTCAACGAATCTCGCATCAGCTCGCCTCATCTCAGCTCGGGTGGGTTCTATGCCGTTATAGTATTTAGTATAGACATCTGGAGTCTCTCGCCCTCTCGATCGGACCGAGGGGGATTAGTATTCGCAACATCGGCCATCGGCACGTCACTTGCCGTTGGACTGTTCCCCAGGACGGTCGCGTTTTTTCCGGAACCGAGCGCGCGCGCCAACCGGGTTAAAGTGTGTCTTTGTGAGAATAACTACAAGCTCTATTACAAGAAAAAGTGGAAGAGTATCTGCAGAACTTTGTGTGTTAGTGCTCGGGACTAGACCATTATCTGCATCCTCACTGGTGGAAAGCGGATTTGAATCTTGGTCGCATTTCGGAGTCACACTTCATCAACGGAGGAGCTACTTTGGAAGCCGTTTTGGAACTGTTTCAAGTGGTTTTCGGCTGCACAAATGAAGTGTTGAGTTATATCGGATATAAAGTGCACAGTAATGCTCAAAGGAAATTCAGTATTGGGATGATCGTTTCATTGCAGCAGCGAGAAGAAATGTGATAGTGGCAAGGGTGATGAAAGAAGTTGCGACACCCACAGGAAGATGAATGTTACATAACAGTATAGAAGGAAAGCAAAAAATTGTGCATTAAGTGGTACAACTGTATATCAAAGAGTGTTTATTTCAAAGCCATATTCAGAATAGTGTCTTGAAACTCACTGCTGCAACGGTCGGAGGAACGGCGCATAAAATGCAGCACGTCAAATGGGCACTTCTCGTCACGCTATGCGTAACGGTCGGAGGGGCTGAATTCGAAAACGTAAGTCCGTAACCGCGCTCCTGAATGAATGAATTGCAATCAACAGATGGTTTTGTGTTAACGTTCTTATCATATGACCACAATGAAACAGAACACCTATACAGCTGTTTCCGTGGTGTAGTGGTTATCACATCCGCCTAACACGCGGAAGGCCCCCGGTTCGATCCCGGGCGGAAACAGATATTTTTTTTTATTCTTAAAATTTTCCTCAAACACTCAAGACAAATTGCTCACTGTGAAACGTGCCTCTAAGAACTTATATTAGCTAGCCGTATTATCTCTTCCCTCGTCCTCCGTAGCATGTCTCGTTGGATTCGAAACGAGCAGAGGCCGCATTTTAGATGATGCGCGAAACACAAACAGCTGCAAACGAGAAGCTGCTGGTGAACTCTTTTTGCCGCATTTCACACGGATTTGGATTACTGGTGATAACACAGTTCAACTGACCGACGATGATTGCTGCGTGCGTGAATTAGAAGCATCATTACACACGCGCGAATAAATGGGTCATCGGTACACACTAGTCTTAGTCGTTGATCATTGGGACTTTTTTTTTGCCTCGTTATCAGTTTACACGAGTGCAATGAATCGACTTAGGGATTGAATTTTTTGGTAATGACCCTGAGGACAAAAGCTTGAATTAAAATAGACTTTTGTATGCGGATGGAGAGTGGAATTTTCGCCTGTTTTTGGCTTCATAATCTGATTATCGGAAGGTTTTACGAATGTGTTTTAAATTTGAAAGACGGGGCAAGATGACCACCCTGCTGACATCATTTGTGGATGTAATAGTAGCAATTAATACAGTTCATTCATGTCTGTTCTACAGTGTGTTTCTAAACAATAGAGCCACCTTAAATCGTATAGTCCTAAAAAAAATATCTCTGTTGTTTGTTAACCAATTGTTATAAAATTTTCAGAACCTATGAAATAACCTAAAATTCCTCGTTTCGCAGAATTAGACGTAATTTTAACATAAAACTCCTGAGATATTAACGAATATGTAATATTGGATGTCCCTCACTGAAAAATAGTTTGTCCACATGATGTTGATAAACTTACACAAAAGTTACCCATAATTGATCATTCAGTGATGAATAAAAACACAAAATTTCACAGAAATTGGTTCACAAAATTTCTACATTTGGCACACTGAAATTTTATAAGAAAGATAGAAAAATCCAGCTTTTCAAATTTATTTATTCAATCAGTGTATACCGTTTTCCAATTATTGTCTTAAGTGCTATTTTTACAATTTTGTCATTGCTATATTTTTTATAATATGTCTTGAGCTGACGCTATGCGAGGAATTAAAATCTTGCTTTAATTTGGTTTTTGTCATTGTAAAGTCAATGTTATCGCAGTGCTTATTATATGTGTCCATAATTTGGTTCTAGGGTCCGAATTTGGCATAATTCGTACGATGGCGATTTGTAGCAAATATATTTCTATTTCGTAAATGCCTAGATGGTGTATATAAATTTAAGGATGACTATAGTTCTATTGAATCAATGCGATGTGATACGATATAGTTTACGAATGAAATCATAGCAAATTCACGACGCTCTTTTAATGTTTGGATATTTATGAATAAACATACACCGAGCTATGTTAGATGGCAGAGGAAATACAGTCCAACCTAACTTGCGGAGTGCATACAATAGAAACTGCTTTTGAACGGACTCTATTCTTTCTTCGTGTGTGATTGAAAAAGGAGACCAAACTATGCTACAATATGCTAATATCGACCTTACACAATGTTTTTTATCGTATACGGATCGGGAAATTTATAGCAGAAACATTTTATGAAACCAAGCATGTTGTTATCTCTGTTAATAATTGTGTTATAATGATCGGTAAAAGTAAGTTTTGAGTCCAAAATAACACCTAGATCCCAGACTCTATCACACTTTTCTACGTTCTGGTTTCCTAAAGTGATTGTTATATCGGGTAGGATTCGTTTTCTACTAATGATAATTGAGTTACATTTTTTTTATATTTGGTGAGACCGGATGAAATTCGACTTTGAAATCTGTGTTAGGGAAATCGCTTTTCGAAGGCAATCGGTGATAATTTTAACTATCATAACAACAGTTGCACATTCGTGCAATTTCAAAAGTGACATTTTTAGAAATGATAAAGTCTTAAATTAAACAGATGCTTAGATATATTTCTGATCGATTGGTGATAAAATTATTGAAATTGGTCCAGGAGCAGCTAAGTTATTACCGTTCAAAATATTTCATTTTCGGTTTTCACAAAGTGTATCCCCATATAGAAATCACAGACGTAGTTCTACGTCAAAAAAGTTTAATGTCGTCAGCATAGATTAAAACTTTCAATTTCTTAATAATGAAAGATATGTCAGTGACGAAGAGAATAAATAAAAGCGGTCCTAAATGGGAGCATTGAGGAACTCCTGAAGTGACATCAACGGGATTTGATGTCTTTCCTTTGTATTTTACTATTTGATGGCGGTCAGTTAAATATGATTCAAGCCACTTGAGGAGTGCGTAATGAATTCCTATTTTTCGAAGTTTAAAAAGAAGCATGGGTATGTCTATTCGATCAAACGCTTTGCTGAAATCTGTATGTTGTACACATAATTCAAGAAATAATAAAAATATTAGATAATTAATATTAAATATATTGATATAATATATTCCAACGGAAAAGCTCAAAACTATCACTCACACATCTGGTCATATCTCAAAAGCTATTTGTCCAAATCATTTGCCCTTGGAAACACATCAAGTAGAAGAGTTCTCCAAAGTGTGGTGAAAATTTGAACCCAAAATATTAAGAAATAAAAAAAATCCCACTCATTGTAAAAATAGGCCATTTTTTGACAATTTGGATACCTGCCGGTAATCTGTCTGTTTACTGTAGTTACTACAACAAAAACAAAATGTGGGTACATTGATGAGAATCTACATTAAAAAAAAACCTTCAAATTGACGTTCTAAGATCACGAATAGCTTATTTGGTTGTGGAGTAATCTCTTCTGAAAGTTGAAATTTTTAAAAACCTCGAAAATCCAGGGTTGTAGCCGAGAGGAATCTAGGCACTTTAGAGCAAAATAATAAAAAAAAAAGCGTTTGTTCAGAATGTCAAAATAAGCGTTTTGGCCAAGTTTGGCTCAAATCGGTGACATCGACCACAACTTTTTTTAAATTCTGTACCCACTTGAGTAGATCTGTGCGCCGGTCCTTTCATTGGCGGCGGCGGCGTGGGAACCGGACTACATTTGAGCTGGAAAGACCCATATGTTATCCATACATTAAATTGTAGGGTAATAAAACAAATGGATCTTTAAACGCTGGCCACATTTATTAATACCAATGAAAAAGTACTATTAATTAATTGCAATAATCACTAATGATTGTAAACATCCTCAACAAAGAAAACTTGAACATCAGAATAAACGGGTCTAAAGGAAAACAGCAAAAACATATTCGACCGTTTGACTTTTTCTATCTAGTTCGCTTATTTGGAAGGCTCAATCGCGTTAGCTTTACGGAGCCAATAATTCATTGGTCATTGATATTGACAAAATTCACTTATATCTATGTCTAGTAGGAGTTGGGCCGAATACTCGCGGTTTACCCGAGGTTAGAGGAGTACATTTTTGAAGGATAAGATAAACATTTTAAGCTTATTTCGAACTTTAAAAATATATGCTCATTCGTGCAATAATAATCAAATAATGAGAAAGTAACGAACGAGTTCTCATTTTGCTCTGAAAAAAAAGGCGCCAATTTGTGAGCGGTGTTGAGAGGATGTAAACAAAAGCAAGAAAATTATTATTTTTTAGGCAAAATAACTTGAAAATTGAAAGTGATCGACTTCGCACCACTCAGGTATCACCTAGCCGGAGGCGACGAATTCGACTCCCGGTCCTCGGTTGAAGAAATCTTTCAGGATTTAAAATTTCTCAGCAAAGAGTATCATTTAACTGCGCTTGTCACACAATATACAACGTCATGCATAGGTGGTGGCATAGAAAGCTCTCAGTTAATAACTGTTGAAGTGCATCTAGAACACTAAGTTGAGAGCCGGCAAAATGCTGCTTGGAGCATGTTTGGCGTATTAAGAATAATTCAACCTTTGGATCTAGCTTCCGATGGTAAACAGCGGAATGTCCATAGTGGAAAGTTTGGAATCCTATCAGTACTCGAATTGAAGCATCCATCTTGCAGATCCAAAGTAGCATCCGAACTGCATAAAATTCATTTGATTTGAACAGTGGAGCACATTCACAAGTAAAACACATAGAATACAATTTGCAATACACTTGAAACCATCAGTGCACAAATTAATAATTAGAAAATTAGAAAATAACGTGCAGTACTTATTGAATCAATGTGAAAGTGAATTGTATAAGCTCAAGTGTTTAAATACATGGATACAACGTGTGGATTTTTTTTTGAGTGTACTTCTTCAATTATTAAAGGGTGTCCACAGTAAAATGGCATCACTTAGATGTACTTGCCAAAAATAAGTCTTTCAACCGATTGTCGAGAAATCTTCAGTAAATGTAATACAATACATATCTTTATTTCACTATATTTCTTATTACGTATCTTTATTTCACTATATTTCTTCACCAATTTCAAATGGCCGAACTTTCGTCCTAATTCCACCCATAAGGTTTTGCACAACGGTTGAATCTACATTTTTTTCTGCTTTCATCCATGATTTCAACATTTCCTGCTTCGTAGTGACAACTTTAGGATGCTTACGGAATTTATGTTTCATTATAGTCTTGGGCGTGAAATTGACCCCATTCGTCTTGTACCATTCCAGAACGTCCTTGGAGTAGTGACAAAAGGCTAGATCCAGCCAAAAAGTTGTAGGAACGTTTTGTGATTTGAGAAACGGAAGCAGTCGTTTCATCAGGCACTCATTCGTGTAGACTTGGGGAACTTCGACACTTGCTGTTTCCTGAGGAACTCTGAAACATCAAACTTGTCTTTCACAGGCACATAGGGCTTAGATCT